CCATGTTGAAATATGTATTTTCAGGTCCTTTAAAGCAAATCTGTGCTAATACCCTCTAGTAGTGCACACATACCACTCCTTCAATCCCTCACCAGTCCGTTCAGCTGCTGGGAAGAAGGAAAGAAAGCCTTGTGTAAGCTTCAAGTCATTCTAGTCAGAAATTACACAGAGCTTAGGAGAATCTCCTCGCCTCCATGTGATTGTGTTGGGCAGATGACCAAGCCTCTAAACGTAGAAGTAAGCAGATATTTTCTTTGCTTCTGGCAGCTGAAGGAAGGAAAGCTGACTTCATGTTAATGGGCAGAGACAAAGCACAAGTTTGTTTAAAGAACCTCCTTAAAGAAAACCTAACATGTAGTAGTGAGGCTACCGTTACTGACCTCCTTCTATAAAGGCTGACAGTTACGCTGATCCACTGGCATGTATACTGACATGACCCGGAACAAGTATTGGGATGGTTGGAATGATGTCAGAACTCCTTATCTGCATACTTTGAAATACATTGAAGCCTCTGCATTGGTGGGACAGTCACTGTTGCCAACAGCCATGTTTCCCTTGTGACAGCTTTCATTTAATGCTCTAAAGCATCTAGTCCCAACCAGAGTTCCCTTTAACCCTAGGGTTTCCCAGATGTTACTAGGGGTTCCTTGAGCTGCGGCTGATTGACCTCCCATCTAATGTGCCTTCATATTTCCAGGTCCATCATGAATTGGAAAAGTTCGTAGAATGACACCAATGATTTTTAGCTAACTGTAAGGGTGGCATTCTAACCACCACTGGGGGGCATTCTTAATACTGAAACGGACAAACACTGTAAAGGACATTTTCCTAATGAACCCCTATGGACTAATTTCAGCAGGGGTTTCCTGTGGCCTTAAAACTATTTTAAAGGTTCCTCTGGGGTAAAAAGGCTGCTCTAAAAAATTGACACTTGAATTTCCTCCATAAAATGCCTGCTTGGAATAGCTTTATAATTTATAGTGGGGGGGGGAACGACATTATTTGACATACTAAAAACCCGTCTGTGTCTAAATGTCCTTCAACGCACAACGCTGCAAACCTCGTTTTACGGTGTAGAGAGTGGCCATAATGTGTAAACACAGCCAAGCTTCTGAACTTCCTTTATGTTTATAGACTGCAGATCACAGAGAAAAAAGGTCAAAACCGACATCATTTCACCAAACATCTACTGCTAAGAAAGTCAGCGGAGAACTGTCAAGCATTCACTGCACTGCTCATCAGATCAAAGTACTCCTAATGATCAGTTGTAATTTACCAAATAATATCTCTCGTTTTCTTTCTTTCTTACTGTAATTTAGACAGCTGCAGAAAATCACTCATTTCTTCCATTTGTGTTTTTTCAATGCTGGGTAATTTAGTGAAAAATGGGCCACAGACCTGTTCTAGGAAATGCACAGTGTATGCATGTGAGTTTCTAGATGTGTGTACTCTTGTACATGATGTGTTAGAAGTAGGGCTGCTGTTTTATGTTCATTGCAAGAGAGCTGGCTGGCTTAATGAAGTCTCGGGCATCAGAAGTGTGCTACCTTCGGCAATTAATGATTGTTTTTCTGCTGTTCAAATTCAGTCTTTTCTTTGTGCTTTTCTCTCATTTTTTTGAAACTGCAGAAGAGCATTTATAATGTATGCATGACTTCAGGATATCAAATTCTGTATAATCAACAATAATAACTTTGAGAAGAAAATAGTACCTAGCAAAATTCTTTGCAGGTCAGTTAGATCACAGCTGTATGATGGAGCTGGCTTAGAAAGAAATGCCCGTAGCGGATAAGGAATAATGAAAATAGCGCAGGGCATGCATGACTAGGCCCAGAGTGGTGAAGGGGAACGGAAAGAGTTAAAGTTAGCTCCAGGGGGTTGGGAGTTGATTGTGGGATTATCTGGTTGGCAGAGGTGGAGTGTAGGAGGGAGGGTCTGTGGCACCTTAGGGTGGGGGGTTCTGTGGAGGGGGCATCAGTGGAGCTGGACGTGAGGAAGGACCAGAGCTTCCCTCCCGCCCTCCCTGTTTTGTTGGGTATCGGGTCCCTCCCGGGGGAAGGAAAGAAAAGAAAAAATGTTGGTTCGCGGGCGGTTGTTGGTCTTTGGAGGCGGTTCTCATCTTGGAAGGTAAAACAATAGTGTGGGACCCATCGGTGGTATGGGGGCCCGGTGGACATTCCCAGTTAACCAAGGTTTAACTGGAAGGTGGTGGTGCTGCACTGCGGACGGTATGGTTGTCTCTGAGCTGGTTGGTTGCGGTTGGAGGCCTAGTGTATAGGGTTGTCCACAGGTGCATTTTGGATCGTTTGGGGGTGCCTTCGAAGACCAACAACAATTCTTTGGTTTCCGTTATAAGGAACGGTTGATGTATTTAAAAATGTGAAGTTGTAAATAAAAGGCCATGTTGGCCATTTTACTCCAAATGGTGTCATATTTTTTTGTAAAGTTTAATTGGTTAAGGGGTGGGGAGTGGTATGGATCGGTAATGGTGGAAGTAGGAGTGGACAAGTCTATCTATGGTGCATTAGTCATGGCTTTAGGATAAGGCTAAACAAGTGTTTTTTCAGTCGTGCAAACATATCAGCTGAATGTCGTTTTTTTTTTTGGAGCATTCAATGTTATAAGAGGTGTTACACTAGCAATCTACAGTCAGACAAGCGTATGATTGATCTCCTATGATCACACAATGTTTCAATTCAGTGGCATAGCAGAAAACTGTTCAAATAATCGAACAGCAATTAATCTCCTTTTTTGTCCTCTATATATAGCTCCATCAATTTATGCAGTGCTTTTACATATATATATATATATATATATATATATATATATTGCATTTTCACATCAGTCCCTAAGGTCCCTACATACACTTTCCTCTTTACCTATTTGCCTACTGGGCACTTATTTTAATAAGAAGCGTTCTTTATTTTTGTTGTATACTTGCACTTAATTGAAAGCAGACCTCCACCCAAAAATGGACGTTCCGCTTTAAGGACTTGTCCCCCCGCTTTCTGTGAAGAATTGGCACCTTTGGGCAATAGGTAACCCGATTTTGACAGGTACCCACTCGCACTCCCACTCTGACCGCCTAGGAGATCAGAAACGGAAGTTCTTGTAACTGCTGTCTTTTATTTTTTTCACAGGACACTGGAGAACAGCTTTAAGGATAGTAATTATATAAAGCCATTTATTATCACATAGTTGTTTGGCTCCTTTTTGAATCATAATGATAACAGAAATCACCCAAATGTCCCTGATCAAAGGTTTACATACCCTGGAATGTTTGGCCTTTGTACAGACACACAAGGTGAAACACACAGGTTAAAATGGCAATTAAAGGTTCATTTCCCACATCTTTGGTTTTTTTAAACTGCAATTAGTGCCTGTGTATAGATAGTCAGTGAATTTTTAGTGCTCACATGGATGCACTGAGCAGACTAGTTACTGAGCCATGGAGAGCAGAAAAGAACTGTCAAAAAACTTGGGTAACAAGGTAATGGAACTTTATAAAGATGGAAAAGGATATAAAAAGATATCCAATGCCTTGAATATGCCAGTAAGTACTGTTCAATCACTTTTTAAGATGTGGACATTTTTTTGATACCAAGCCAAAGGTCAGGCAGACCAAGAAAGATTGCCAGAATTATTCAGGAAACAAAGAAAAAACCCATAGGTAACCTCAGGAGAAATACAGGTTGCTCTGGAAAAAGACAATATGAGCTGCATGGTTGAGTTACCAGAAAGACGCCTTTACTGTGCCAATGCCACAAAAAAGCCCAGTGAGACATGTCAAGGTGTTGTCAGGCATATTATACACAGGCTTTGTTTGTGGCTAAAAATGAACTTATTTCATAAGTGTATACAAGCTGTGATAATCAATGGCAATCAATCAGAACTACAGTCAAATAATTAAATTATGAATTCTGATTGTTAGCTGTGATTACTGAATATTGCATGTTGCACTGCTACTGGATAATCCCACCTATGGCTGATTAAAGCAAAATCAAAATCTAGAGCAGTGGTCGCCAAACCATGGGCTGGATATGGCCATTTTCTTGACTTTAAATGGTCTTGGGGCACTGTTCCTCCCAGTAAATCCAACAATGGGGCACTTTTCCTCTCATTTGCACCAACAAATTGTGTCCTCCCACTGACACAAGCAACGGGGCATTATTTATCTTCCCATTAACCACAGGTCATTTTATGCTCCTATTGCTCACCAACCCTGGGGTATTTTTTAGTTTCACTGACCACCAAACCTGGGGCATTTTTTCCCACACTGGCTACAGCCCGGCCCCTCTAAGGGCTGAAGCATAGTGAACCTGATCTAGAGGATGGGAAACAACCAACTCCAAGCATGCTTCTGTTACAGGATCCAAGAATATCTGGTGTCATTGATAATTAAAGTGAACCTTCAGACAAAAATATCCCTTGGCATAGTTTTAAGCCTCTCTCTTCTGTGTTCTAAATAAGCTGACACTTTTTTGCATGTTTATATACTTTTTTCTTCTATCACAGTCACCCTGCGTAAGACGGTATGATGTGAACCCTGCTTCTGATGCCCCCTGAGATATCCATGTCACTTATCCCAAGAAGCATTGACTTCCACACAGTGGCTGGAGGAGGATGGACGCAGTAGCATGCCATCAGGGAGTCAGTTGCAGCTGGTTCCTAATGACGTAGGCAACTTGGGACCTAGTGTGCAGAGAACTACAGATCACTACAGGATGTCACTGGATTCACTGGGTGTGTATATATGTTTATTGTAAAAACCACAGTGAAAAAGGTAAGGGTTTTTTTTTTAATTACGCTGGGGGGTGGGTAACTTTCCTCTTTACCTATTTGCCTACTGGGCACTTATACCCCCTTCCTGCCCAGGCCAATTTCCAGCTTTCAGCACTGTCGCACTTTGAATGACAATTGTGTGGTCATGCAACACTGTACCCATATGAAATTTTTTATAATTTTTTTGTGACCGATAGAGCTTTCTTTTGGTGGTATTTAATCACCTCGGGTTTTTTTATTTTTTCTTAAACAAACCAAAAAGCACAGAAAATTTTGAAAAAAAAAAAAAGTTTTTTTTTAGTTTTTGTTATAAAATTTTGTAAATAAGCGATTTCTCCTTCACTGATGTGCGCTAATGAGGCTGAAGTGATGGGAACTGATAGGCTGCACTGATGGACACTGATAGGTGGCACTGATGAGGAGGCACGGGTAGGTGGCACTGATGGGCATTGACAGGCATCACTGATGGGCACTGAAAGGCAGCACTGATACATGGCACTGATATATGGCACTGTTAGGCAGCACTGACTGGCACTGATAGGCGGCACTGACTGGCACTGGTAGGTTGCACTGATGCACACTGATAGGCGGCACTGACTGGCACTGATAGGCGGCACTGACTGGCACTGATAGGTGGCACTGATTGGCAGCACTGATAGGTGGCACTGATTGGCATTGATAGGTGGCACTGATGGGCACTGATGAGGAGGCACGGGTAGGTGGCACTGATGGGCATTGACAGGCATCACTGATGGGCACTGAAAGGCAGCACTGATACATGGCACTGACATATGGCACTGTTAGGCGGCACTGACTGGCACTGTTAGGCGGCACTGACTGGCACTGGTAGGTGGCACTGATGCACACTGATAGGCGGCACTGACTGGCACTGATAGGCGGCCTGACTGGCACTGATAGGTGGCACTGATTGGCAGCACTGATAGGTGGCACTGATTGGCATTGATAGGTGGCACTGACTGGCACTGATGGATGACACTGAAAGGCAGCTCAGATGGACACTGATATTTGACATTGATGTGCACTGGTATGCACTGATATGTGGCATTGATGTGGCACTGATAGGCACTGGCACGTGGCACTGATCAGCACTGACAGCTGGCACTGATGGACTTTGACAGGTGGCACTGCTGGGGCTACACTGATCATCAGGGCACACTGATCATCAGTGCCCTGATGATCTGTGTACATGTCCCCTCCGCGGAAAGCCGATTACCGGCTCTCCTCTTGAGCTGTCAGCGTCAGAGGAGAGAAATGTCGATAACCGGCATTTCCGTGTTTACATGTGATCAGCTGTGATTGGACACAGCTGATCACATGATCGAGCCAACATCTTCAGCTCTTTCTGTGATCGGTGATCTGCTGTGTCCGAGGGACACAGCGCACTGCCGATCGCCGTGCTGTGCGCTCCCTGAGCCGCGCATGGGCGGTGAGAATTGGAGAACGTCATATGAACGAGAGAACCACCTTGCGCCCGTCATTGGACTATATGGCGGGCGGGAGGTGGTTAAAATATATGTACTCCCAAGCACTAAAACAGAATACAACCTTTAACATGTTAATGTAATTTCAAAAATAATTTTTACTATTTTGAAATCTGAACTTTTCATTAAAATAATGCCTCATGACCTTTTTATAAAAGCTCTTGTTAATACACTTCCTGTTATAGGATGACAACACCCTGTTTACCAATTGCGCTCCTGAGTTGTCAACCTGTCACACTGGCTTCCATTGGAGACCTAAGTGGCTGTTAACCAGGGGCTTACTGACCATTTGGAAACTCGGGCACTGCCCGAGGGCTGGGGTCAGTAGGGGGCCCCTGGTACCTTTTTCATAGGCTTTTTTGAGTTTGGGCAAGGACACAGGGGCCCCATGATCACCTATTGCCTAGGGGCCCCATGAGTTGTCAGTCTGCCCCTGCTATTTAACACACATTCAGCAAGCATGGTCTACAATTCTCAACATCAGGAAATTCACCATGAGAAATGTCAGACAGGATGTGGCTGCAAGATAATGCAACTGATGCAATAAAAGATATAAAAAAGGGAAACAAATATTTTACATGCAAACATTTTTCTATAATATGAAGATATTTAAAAAACAACAAATATTGCATGTTGTTCCAAAATGAACTAGTTCTAACCATAGTGATTAATACTTCTGCCTAGCAGACCTAGGGTTTTCGGTTCGCGTCCCAACCATGGCACTACCGGCCTGGAATTTGCATGTTCTCCTTGTGCCTATGTGGCTTTCCTCCTGGTACTCCGGTTTACTCCATAGACATGTTGGTAGGTTAGTTGACTCCTGTTTAAATTGTCCCAGGTATGTTTGTGTATGAATGTGAGTGAGGGACCTTAGATTGTAATCTCCTTGTGGGTTAGGGACTGATGTGAATGTTCAATATACACTCATCGGCCACTTTATTAGGTACACCTGTTCAATTGCTTGGTAACACAAATTGCTAATCAGTCAATCACATGGCAGCAACTCAGTGCATTTAGGCAACTAGGCGTGGTGAAGACGACTTGCTGAAGTTCAAACCTAACATCAGAATGGGGAAGAAAGGGGATTTAAGTGACTTTGAACGTTGCATGGTTGTTGGTGCAAGACGGGCTGCTCTGAGTATTTCAAAAACTGCTGATCTACTTGGATTTTCACACACAATCATCTCTAGGGTTTAAAGAGAATGTTGCGGAAAAGGAAAATTTCCTGTGAGTGGAAGTTGTGTGGACGAAAGTGCCTTGTTGATGTCAGAGATCACAGGAGAATTGGCAGACTGATTGCTGTGACATTCAGATGGTAAAGTCAGAATTTGGCATAAAAACAACATGAAAGCATGGATCCATCCTGCCTTGTATCAACAGTCCAGGCTGATGGTGGTGGTGTAATGATATAGGGGATATTTGCTTGGCATTATCAAGGTGTACCTGTTAAAGTGGCTAGTGAGTGTATGTGTAAATTGATGGCGCTATATAAGTACCTGTAACAATAATAATTAAATTATTTTTTATTGTCCCCAACCTTGCTAGTTGTGGATTTGGCACACTTTTTCTAGTCTAATTTAAACCCAAAATGTATTATGTTTATTTTTGGTAGATGGTGGGGAATAAAAAGAAACTTGTATACAATATAGGAGTTTGGTCTGCTGACTCCTTTGTTAAAGGTGTCCAGAGGTCTCATACTTATTTTGGCTTCACTACCTAGAGAGTCACTGATATGAAAGGAGCAGACAGCTACTATAGTCTGAAAAAGTTTTTTTCCAATATGCTTGTTCCAGTTTAATAAATTATCAGAAAGTGAAGATATGATCAGATGACACTCCTGATCCTGCACCTTTAATAATCTGGTCATCAGCTGAAATTTCTATTTCTATAAATATATACTTTCATATCTTTTGGTCTCGTGTCTTCTTTGTGTCCCATGGCAACTTTGGCACTTGAATTTCCAGCTCAACACACCTGCTGGGGACAAATTTTACGTTTATTATATAGGATGAAGAATGTAATAGGAGAAAAACAAGGTAGCATAGTGGCTAGGGTCCTGCTGCCCAGCTTTGGGTTCAGATCCCATCTGTGACACAATCTGTATGGGGTTCACACACTGTCCTTGTATAGGTGTGGCCCAGGTACCTCCAAAAAAAAAAAAAAAAAAAAAAGCTACTGAAAGGTATATTGACCCTAGTTTGTGGGGATTAAGCCCTTGTTCATCCCTGAGTGATTCAAAGTGCTTTTCTAAAAGCATTTCAACACCCACCATGAGGAATTGCATTATATTCTATGGAGCCAAATCAAAATCTGAGCCTCATGTTACTTACAATTTATTGCTCAAGCTTAAAAAAGCACAGTGAGCTTCTTTTGGGGCAGAATCTCAATTTTTGGTTCCTATAGACTTCTTTTACAAAGGTTTTTATTGACAGGATATTTAAACAGAGCCTACTGTAAAGTAACAATCTTAATTGCATCGGGAAAACAGAGTTACCTTGCCAGAGTAAAAAAATTACACAAAAAAAGAGCGATGACTGAACTTGTATGTAATCAAAAATGTGCCAATATAGTACCAATAATAACCTGAAAGTTCTGTAAAGAACAGAGATGGAGCAATCAGGAAAATCATTGTAAGGAACAAGTCAAAAGGCAATGACATTTAGTGCTAAGCTTCAAATGTCCAGTAACTTTCAGAGCCAAAGGTAGGCCTGACAACTAGAGTAGTACTTAGTTAGGCCAGGGAGAAGTAAGTAAAACCAAGAATGAAAAAAGAAGGAAGTAAATCAGGATAAAGTAGAAAAGAAGAAAGAAAGGGTGGTCTTGGGGAGCAATGTATCTAGAAGTATCAAAGGATTAAAAATTGATGGTCAAAACGGGAAGGATGGATGTATGTTGGTTCCTATAGACCTCAATGTGAGCGCCTGAGAAATGCAAATTTTTGCATGATTTCTCGACAGTCGACAGTCGACAGCATCCCACTGGCTAAAAAAGCACTCCACTTGAAGAAGCTCAAGCTCATGTGTGAAACTTGCCTTAGACTGTGAGCCCCAGCATGGGGCAAGAATTGATATAAATGGTACTGTCTACTTTGTAAAACACCTTATAATCGGCCAATGCTATAAAAACACAGAAAATACATAAAAATGGGGAAATTGGAATCTCGAAGTGGAGTGTGGACAGAGTATAGAATGATAGTAGGAATATGTTACAACTGGGACTTCTGAGAGCTAAACAAAGCTGCTGAATGACTCAGCTCCCACCACCAGACATTACCACTAAATGAAAGAGAATCAAAACCCAAACATTTAAACAAAGTATGTTGCTGCACATGTTACTATAAAATCAAAAAGCTTAATCCTTTTGTTCTATATTTCTGTTTCAGCTAACATATACCATCAAGGTGTATCCAGAGACACTTCCTTTGCTAGGGTGACAACTTGTATGGGAATGTCACTCTGAGAGCTCACCAGCTTCGGCATCTCTTTAGAGCACACATGCAGGCAATGTAACACCTACCTGCTTGCATGTGTTGCTCCCTTGTTGGTTGGATTAGTGAGGCGGCACACTTTTTGCCTACAACTTAATTTTGTAGCATCTCTGCAGAGAGGGAATGAGCCCTCGCTGCTGAAGCAGGCTAGGAGGCAACACATATATATCCGTTTAGGCGAGTTTAGGCGAGTTTAGATGAGTTTAGCATTTTTTTCTGCCAGAAAACTCCAATCAAAAACGCAAACCAGAAGGTTTTTTTTCCTGCCTCTAAACATTGAATTTAAAATATGACTCTAATCATCCTAATGTGCATGGACAAATAGGATAACACTGAGCTTCTTCTTTGGGAAAAACACAAAACTCTTGTAGAAACAGTGATTTTTAAGCCAGTGTGCATGGAGCCTTCCTGGGTTTTTCAGCAATGGCAAATTAAAGGATCGCTAATGTGACATGGCACTTACTTAGTTCAAATGCATCAATGGTACCCTTTCCTGCACACTCTTTAGTGTACAAACAGCCGTGTGCTGGTACATTCTGCTGTAGTCACTTAGTAAAACTGTAATTTTTAACTGCAATTAGAGCTTTCACAAATCCATAGGAAGTCCCTACACAGACTCTACAGCATGTGCACAGTGCAGGAAATTAAAAAATGGACAAAGTAAGGGGAAAGCTGTATTTTTTAACCAAAGAAAGCAATCCAATATTACTAACAGTGTTCTTCAAAACTAAGTATTCTTTTGTACAAGTTTCTCTGTACTTGGGATCATGTGCGGACTACCTTAGGTAATATAAGTTGCACATAAGGTGCTGAATACGACTACGCCACAAGCAAGAAGCAACTTTCACAGCATGCTTTGGGGCTCAGTGTTTGTATTAGGAGGACTAGACCCTGACCACTTCTGTTTACGACCAACCTAATAATGGTTAGATACAAGCCAATTTTTTTATTTTCATACTGACAAATTAATGAATACTTTACAAAATATATCATGGGATGAGTAATATGTTTAAAAAGTTTGTTTGCCTTCAATAATTTTTCAGTCATTTTTACTGATGTAAGTTATCATTTAGCAACTGCAGCAGGGGAAACAGCAAATCTGCTAGAAAATGATCAGTCAAATATTTTGATGAGTCGCTTATGTGTATTCCTGGCCTGTAACTCATTACTGATCATTTGCTTACAATCATTTAACTACTATGAAGATATTGAGTCTTTCAGTTTAAAAAGAACTGAGAAAGCAGCATTGCATGGCCAATCCCATAGCTAGACCTAAAGTAACAGACCGCTCATCTATTTTGATAAAAGATCGGCCTATCACCGGAACTATCGCCACAAACCTGCTGTGGTCTTTTACCCTAGCTCAGGTGATTATTTGTGCACAAAAGATCTGTTGCACATGGCAAATCAAGGAG